ATTAGTGAATAAAAAAATAAAGTATAGACCTTACTTGTGTTTAGAAAGCTGGTATCACATTACCAGGGACGTAGATGGGGGAGGGGAGGGGGGTTGGTCTGATCCCCTCCCCAGAGGAGATTTGCCAACCATCCCTGCAGCCCTTGAAATTTCCAATCGCCCGCGAGTGGAAATAAGGTGTTGGGCGGGCGGTAACGAGCAGCCGTCTCCTGTATGGCTTTCAATGAAGCAGCTGAAATCCGCAGGAGGGAGAGGAGGAGACCAAAGTCGTCGCATTCAGGAGAGTAGCTTTTAAGCATAAAAATGCTGACATTCTTAAGTGTCCCTCAGCACTAGGTGCCTTTTGGCTCTTGAGCGTTTTTGCATTTCAGTATTCTGGCCAATGAAATAATTAAACGCTCAAGCACTTGATGCGCCTTTAACGTGTTTGTGAAAACATGGTTTAGGTGTGTTTTTGAAGCTACGTTTCTGTTAGGACAAAAGCATTTATAAAAGCCCCCAATGTGCATGAAGCTTTCGTTTTTAATAATGTATAATGATTAGCAGATTTCAGCACAGGATTTTCAGTGACAAAACTATAATTGCATGACTTTATTTGATAGTATTATTGTTACTAGTTTTTCCATTATGGTGTTTGTCACCATAATAATGTATTTATTGCTGTGAAAGTTTATATTTTATGTGATGTTAGGGGGTTGTGTTTTTAGGTTAAAGTATATAACTAAAGCCAAACCTTTTTTTTCATTATGGATAACGTAGGGGAGGGTAAACTGCTGTCTGTTTTTGTTGTTGTGTTTTTTTTTCTTTTTTAATCTTGTGTTTTGTTCAAGAGATTTATCTTCACTAACTGCTTTGCAGATTCAGCAGGGAGTGAGAGGATATCCTGTCATGTAGACTTAAAGGATAAGTTCACCTTTCTCAACTTGTTAGGGTGTAATATGTAACACGTTGAGCATCCACCACCTCTCCCTGATCCCCCTGATCTTCCCCCTCCTTGTGACAGCAGGCCATGCGGGGCTCCGCCCACACAGCTGCATTATTTATTTAGAGTTCTGTGAATGAATGCCTACAAGTATTGCCAGCTATTGTGGCTGATGGCTTGTAGTTTTCAATAAACTGAGGCTGCTGGTGAGCATTGAGCTTCCTGTCATTCAGTAACTGCCTGTCCGTATTGGAGGTACAGGCAGACAGCTACACTGACAGTCTGAAGGAGCCTCGCTTTGCACCTGCAATATGCTGATCGCAGGTGCAATCCTTTACAGGCTCCCGAGAAAAAAAAAATAAATGCACCTTTTTTTACCTGGGGGAAAAAAAAATGTTTTCTTTCTTGTAGCTTCAACAGGAAGGAGGAAGGTATGTTTCCAAAGTGAGGGAAATCCCCTATTAATTGTCATGGTAGCAAGTGCCCCCACTGGAAGATTTCCCTTCTATTCCTGTTTTGGTGGCAACTTAAAACTGGATTTACCTTTTTACTTTTATAAGCAGTGACATTGGTGATCAGAACAATTAGAGAAAGCGAATCTCTGTAGCGGGGACACATACAGCAATAAAGAACCTGACTGTGGTTCAAACCTCTCACCGTTCAATTTAAATAAAAAAATTGCCGTTGGTTGTACTTTTTTTTTTTTTTTTTTCAAGGCAATTTTTATTAATGCTTTAGATGTACCACACAATGTACAATCCATTCGCCATGTCCTTTTTTTTTTCATACAAGGCACAATATTAAATCAAAATGCCACAGTTTACTGAAACGAGATTGAAAGGGCTGTGGAATAGCCTAATAGAATAACAAGAGCATGATTCACATTGTGCCAGAGTCCTAAGTTGAAGGTGTAAGGTCTGAGTTGGTAAAGGGGGAGGACAGAATTAATTAGCCATTAAGTCCAGTATACCTCTGTAGAGGATCGAATGCTTCAGGATCAACTTTGTAGAGTAAAAGTATAAAATACACAACAAGCATGTTTGGCAGAGTGGAGTACCTTTTAACACCCTGAGAAAACAAGTTACATGGTTACAGACATTTGGGGAATCCCAAGACCAGGGCCACCATTTGGGGGGGCAGCCAATACAGATTTAGGGGGCCCGAGCGTCCGAGGGACCAGGAGAAGGCAGGAGCAGGTAAAGGCAAACTGCGTGATGGACTACAGAGAAGTCAGCAGCTGCTGCAGCTCTGTGTCACTGAGCTCACACACCAAGCTCATTACTGACACATTGCCTGCAGCTCCTCTGTCTCAGCGATGTGTCAGTCTTCTGTAACAAGAGCTGGGACTAAGAAGACCTCATTTACAAGTAGGGACTGTGTGTGCGCAAGTGAAGAGAGGGGGCTGTTTGTGTACAGGGGGGGGGGGGGGGGCTGGAGCTGTGTGTGTTTACAGATGTATGTATGTATGTATGTATGTAGTGTGTGTGTGTGTGTGTGTGTGTGTGTGTGTGTGTGTGTGTGTGTGTGTGTGTGTGTGGTGTGAGGTGTGTAGAGGTATACAGGTGTGTGAGGGGGCTGAGTGTGTAGAGGTATGTGTTTTGGAGGGGGCTGAGTGTATACAGACATGTGTGTGTGTGTGTCGGGGGGGGGGGGTGGGAGTGCGTAGAGGGTATAAAGGTGTGTGTGTGTGTGAGGGGAGTGAGTGCCTACAGGTGTGAGTAGGGGCTGAATGCATACAGGTGTGAGGGGGGGGGCTGGGTGCATACAGGTGGGGGGGATCTGGGGGGGTGGGGGCTCTGAGTGCATACAGGTGTAGGGATGATGTGTATACAGATGTGGGAGAGCATTGGGCATACAGGAGTGGGGAATGATGGTGGATGGTGGACAGGCCAGGGGGGCCCAGGCCCAAAGCTGTGTAAGGGGCCCAAGATGGGCTGCCCTTCCCAAGACAATAGACTATTGTTATATTTTAAAGGTTATGATTAGCTGTGAAGATAAAGTAATTCTGTTTCATTAGTTATTCCATTTAACAGTAGAGGCTGTAAATGTAAATTTTTTTTTTTTTTTCCTTTCTCATTGCACAACTCTCTTGAATGAATTTTCTGAATAGTAATTGTGAAAACTTTGTGGAAAATCTACCCACTTTCACTTATTTCTTTTATCCCTTCGTTTCTCCTGTGTTAACTTGGGGTTGCTTAGCTCATGTGTAGCTCTTGCCAGTGATTTCAGTCCATGCTAGATATGCATTTTCATGGCTTTTTCTGCCCACTTTTATTAAAATAAAAGGAAAAGTCCAGCAAACAAACCGTTTCCCACGCAGGGATTTCCACCATCAGTATGAACAGAAATAATATTCAGCCTTGTGGCTCTCTTTAGCAGCCCTCTTGGTCAGGTCTCATGCCTTAGTCCTCCTGGTCATCTAACACAATGTCCCAGTGCTTGTGTTCTAGCATGTACCTCTGTCAGCTCTCTGTCTTTTCCTGCAGCTCCCTGCTGCTCTGTCTTTCAGGCTCAGACATCTGTCTGTCCTGGGCAGCACTTCTCTGCTCCCTTGCACACACACTGACTCCCGGAGGGGTGGGGCCCAGAACTCTTATCCTAAGTCTCCTAAGTGACGGTTCACATATATGTGGATTGGATGCGGTGACATGTGAAAAAACATTGCTTCCTATGGGACCTGTTCACATATGTCTGATGCACTGGTGGTGTGGATTCAGTGCGCTTCTTAAAAGATTCCTGTACGATTTCTGAGCAGTGCGGTCCGGTTCAGGTGCAGATTACAGTCTGTTGACATCTATGGGAACCGTTTCTAAACTGCGTGTGAACAGGGTAAGATCCTGAAACTAATCCTGTCCTGAACCTGACCTGACGTGAACCAGTGAACAACTACTGTATCAATTAGCTGTGGGACCTGAGCTTCAATCCGCACCGCACATGTGTGAATCAGCTCTAAGAACCCGGCACATACCTGCACCATCAGTATGCCTGTTCTTTTCAAAAGCAGGCCCAGACTGCCTTTTTTTAAGAATTAATCTTTATTCATTTTACAAATATAAAGATACAAACAGAAAAAAGCTTCTTCAAGGCAATTCCGTGAAGTCTTTACAGAAAAAAAAGGAATTCCAAGAACACCTGCGCTCCACCGTAATCTGGGAACAATTATGTAACGTGAACATGAGAAGGATAAACATTCTGGTTGTTCTTATTATACAGGATTTATATAGTACCAACAGTTTGTGGTCATAGTAACAAATCGAGAAAGATAAAATAAAAAAATGGAATTGGGGAGAAGGAAGATTACGGCCTCACAATGTGGACCCCTTAGTTGGGGTCACATGCTGAAGGGTTATCCTTAGCAATTCAGTAGGTGCCCAGACTGCCTTTTAACACTGTAACAGAGTACTGCTCTGGTCATACTCTATTTACTGAACTTAACCAATTTAAAAAATGAATTGCCACCAGTCAAGAAAAGAAAAGAGGGAATATGTACTTATTTTCTAGGTAGATTGAACAGCCTGGAAACCAGACTTTTGAAGTAAACTGCAATGTTTACACAGAGTTTTCGCAGCTGCTATGCAGGTATTGCTAGAGAACTGTAAAGAGAGAGCAGAAAAGAGCTTACAACAGGAAAACTAGAATTGTTAGGCATAGAAGGAAGAGTGGTGTATGGGAGATTTACTAAAACTGGAGCTTGCTAAATCTGGTGCAGCTGTGCATAGAAACCAGTCAGCTTCCAGATTTTATTGTCAAAGCTTAATTGAACAAGCTGAAGTTAGAAGCTGATTGGTTACTATGCACAGCTGCACCAGATTTAGTAAATCTCCCCCATGGTACACTTTAGGGGTGTAGTTCAGGAGACTCCTTAAGGTTGGGGGATATAGTAAGTATTACTTTCGTTATGTGACAAATGCATTATTTGGGTTTTATAAACTAATTTGTGCCGTAAATTTGTGTTGCAATTTGCGGCCTTGAAACTCCTTGGCTGGACATGGGAAAACAATTTACTTCATCTGATATACCTATCTGCTAAAAGAGAGCTGATTTTCGGTGAGTGCTAATTTATGGTTTTCTTCCACAGAACCTGTTTGTGCTGTTGGTCATGGTGTGACTGCCTTGTGTTGTGTTATTGCTGAGGATAAGTCCTGGATATTTCAAGACTACAGTCTTACTGGGGTAACCTGAGACATGTTATTTATGATGCCTAAAGGCCGAGTTTACCAAATACTATCATTTTAATGTATTTTCTACTTGCCTTCAAGATAACATTTTACAAAAAAAGATTACATCTGGTTTCTAAACACACAGCTAAATACACAAAGGAAACACTGACAAGATTTTTTTTTATCTGCCAGAAGATTGGTAATTCTGTTCTTCAAGTCTTGTGATTCAAACACCTGGCTAAAAAGTATATTCATGTCCTGCATACCTAAAAACCTATCTGCACACTACACTGCAGTTGAGTAATACAGCTGTTAGTTGGCCACGTATGGATTATTATTTGTCCAAACCATGCTAAACTATCCGAATTTTGATCCGTCCATGGCCAGCTTTAGTCAGTGATTGGACAGGATAGCATCAGGAGAATGCTGAGATGGATAATCTCTGCTCCCTCCAGCTCCCTGTGTTAGACAGCACTGTGCAATGCTCTAGAGTTCTGACTGGCTTACAGTGCTACCCATCACTCTCCTAGTAAGTTCTGCTTTACAGGGAATTAAAGAAGGTTAATATCAAGACAGATATATACCGCATTTTGATTATTTTTTAATGAATACATAACTTCATTAGTAGTGACTTTTTAAATCTGCTTGGAGTTCAAATTTTTAAAGCCAAATTCCATCCTTTTTAGGTTGAAGAAGGTTAGAACTTCTGTAAGGTTTTTTATTGCTGTCTTTGTTCCATTTGTGTAGAGTTCCCTTCATGTACTGTACTAAGGGCACCCTGACACACAGGCTAACAGTGCTACAGTTTATTTTGACAGCAGAGTTGTCCTGCTTTCAGAATACAATAACACAGAGGGGAGGATTCCTCTATCCACCTTGCTTGTGTGGATGGGAGTATCTGTTCAGTTTTGTCAGTCACCCTCCTGGCTGATTGAAAAAAAAAAAATGATCCATGTATGGCCAGCTTAACTGTTCCCCATGCTATAAAATGTTTTTATTGCTGTTTAGATCTTTGAAATCCATCCTGCTCTGGTATAAAAAATCTAATAGATATTCTAACCCTTCCCCACCCTGTCTAATGTTGTATGAAACTTTTGACAGATCTTGGGCTTTAAAGTGTTCAATTCATACCAGATAAAAAAAAAAATGAGGAAAATATCATAGTTACAGTGGTAGACATGTTTGCCTCTCCCAAGATCATATGTAAAGCATACAGTACTATAATGGAGTTTCATGTTTTCAGTTTTTTAAAGGCTCATATGTCTCTTCTCCATCAGATCAAACGTAAAATAATAAGTGTGGTTCTTACACCCATACTTCTACTTGAAGCTCAGGCTATATAATAAAAGTGTCTAGCAGGTGGCTGACAGTACTTGGTTGTTTTCTCCCTTTTAACCATCTCCCACACAGCAAATGTACATATACAGCTGGACAGGAGCAGCACTGATGCGGGTGATCATACTTGTACATCCTCCTGCATTGGTGGCTCATGTGTGCTCTCTGAAACATGCATCAATTCGATCCGTGACCACTGTATCCACCGGACACAGTAGATCATAGATCGGGGTACAGAATCGCTGTGGTTGGCCCTGTGCCATGTGATTGCTGTCACCAATCACAGTGATCAGAGTCAGCAAGAGTAAACAATGGCTGTCATTCATGATGCCATTGTTTACTAATGCGATCCCTGTGATTGTTCACATGGTTTAGGGCTGATCACAGTGCCCCTGCACCATATGATTGATGTGGCCAATCACAGTAGCAAACAATGGCATAATGAATGAACACAGAATTGATTGCGTATATTTATCACTTTCTAAGCAATCAATGTTAAAAAAAAAAAGATCCTCATCAACTGCCTAAAACAGTACAGTGTCACTATGCTGACACTACACTGCTCTGTTGACAATATATTTAAAAAAAAATAAAAAAATTAATATATATATACATACACAGTGGAGGAAATTAAGTATTTGATCCCCTGCTGATTTTGAATGTTTGCCCACTCACAAAGAAATGATCAGTCTAAAAATAGAATGGTAGGTGTATTGTAACACTGAGAGACAGAATAGCAACAAAAAATTCAAAAGAAATTCATGTCGAACAAATTATGCACTGATTGGCATGTTCATGAGGGAAATAAGTATTTGATCCCCTATCATTCAGCAGGATTTCTGGCTACCAGGTGTCTTTCATACAGGTAATGAGGAGATTAGAAGCAGTCTATTAAAGGGAGTGCTGCTAATCTCATTTTGTTACATGTATAAAAGACACCTGTCCAAAGGAGCAATCAAACAATCAGATTCCAAACTCTCCACCATAGCAAAGACCACAGAGCTGTCCAAGGATGTCAGGGACAAGATTGTAGACCTACACAAGGCTGGACTGGGCTACCAAACTATCATCAAGCAGCTTGGTGAGAAGGTGGCAACAGTTGGTGAAATCATTTGCAAATGGAAGAAACACAAAACAACTATCAGTCTCCCTGGGTCTGGTGCAAGATCTCTCCTCGTGGAGTGTCAATGGTCATGAGAACAGTGAGGAATCATCCCAGAACTACACGTGAGGATCTTGTCAATGATCTCCAGGCAGCTGGGACCACAGTCACCAAGAAAACAATTGGTAACACACTACGCCGACAAGGATTGAAATCCTGCAGTGCCCGCAAGGTCCCTCTGCTCAAGAAAGCACATGTCCAGGCCCATCTGAAGTTTGCCACTGAACATCTGAATGATGCAGAGGAGGACTGGTTGAAAGTGTTGTGGTTAGATGAGACCAAAATAGAGCTCTTTGGCAACTCAACTCGCTGTGTTTGGAGGAGGAGGAATGCTGCCTATGAGCCCAAGAACACCATCCCAACTGTCAAACATGGGGTGGAAACATTCTGCTTTGGGGATGTTTTTCTGCTAAGGGGACAGGACGACTGCACTGCATCAAAGGGAAGATGGACGGGGCAATGTATCATCAAATCTAGGGCGAGAACCTTCTTCCCTCAGCCAAGGCATTGAAAATGGGTCGTGGATGGGTGTTCCAGCATGACAATGACCCAAAACACACGGACAAGGCAACAAAGGAGTGGCTCAAGAAGAAGCACATTAAGGTCCTGATGTGGTCTAGCCAGTTTCCAGACCTTAATCCGATTGAAAAATCTGTGGAGGGATGAAAGTTCGAGTTGCCAAACGTCAGCCACCAAACCTTAATGACTTGGAGAGGATCTGCCAAGAGGAGTGGGCCAAAATCCCTCCTGAGATGTGTGCAAAGTGCAAACCTGGTGGCCAACTACATGAAATGTCTGACCTCTGTGATTGCCAACAAGGGATTTGCCACCAAGTACTATGTCATGTTTTGTGAAGGGATCAAATACTTCTTTCCCTCATGAACATGCAAATCAGTGCATCATTTGTTAGACATGCATTTCTTTTGAATCTTTTGTTGCTATTCTGTCTCTCAGTATTATAATACACCTACCATTCGTTTTTCAGACTGACCATTTCTTTGTGATTGGGCAAACATTCAAAATCAGCAGGGGATCAAATACTTATTTCCTTCACTGTGTGTGTGTGTATTTCACACACAGTTGGATCCATATATATTTGGACACAGTCACAATATTAGTTTTTTTCACATATTTACCAAAACCTATTCAAGCTATTGGAGGAAGGGTTTAGGAATTACAGCTCTTAAGAGTGGCCATCCCCCCCTTTTTCAAGGGACCAAAAGTAATTGGACAATTGAACCAGAAGCTGTTTCATGGCCAGATGTGGGCTACTCCTTTGTTATTTCTTCATCAATTGAGCAGGTAAAAGGTCTAGTGTTGATTCTAAGTGTGGTATTTGCATTTGGAATCTGTTGCTGTGAACCTACATCATGCGTTCAAAGGAGCTGTCCATGCAAGTGAAACAGGCCATTGTAAGGCTTCAAAAAAAAAATCCATCAGAGAGATAGCAGCAACATTAGGAGTGGCCAAATCAACAGTTTGGTACATTCTGAGGAAAGAACGCTCTGGTGAGCTCAGCAACATAAAAATGCATGGACGTCCACAGAAGATACCAGTGGTGGATGATCACAGTATCCACTCTATGGTAAAGAAAACCCCATTCGCAACATCCAGACAAGTGAAGAACACTCTTCAGGAGGTGGGCGTATCATTGTCAAAGTCTACAATCGAGAGAAGACTTCAGGAGACCAAATACAGAGCGTTCACCACATGGTGCAAACCATTCATAAGCCTGAAGAATAGAAAAGCCAGATTAGACTTTGCCATAAAACATCTAAAAAAGCCAGACCAGTTCTGGAAAAGCATTGGATGGATGAAACTAAGATTAATCTGCACCAGAATGATAGGAAGAAAAAAGTGTGGAGAAGGTTGGAACAGCTCATGATCCAAAGCACACAATGTCATCTGTAAAACATGGTGGAGGCAGTGTGATGGCATGGGCATGCATGGCTTCCAGTGGCACTGGGTCATTGGTGTTTATTGATGATGTGACAGAAGGCAGAAGCAGCTGGATGAATTCTGCAGTGTTTAGAGATATACTGTCAGCCCAGATTCAGCCAAATGCAGCAAGGTTGATTGGATGGCTCTTCACACTACAGATGGCCAATGATCCAAAACACACTGCAAAAGCAACTCAGGAGCTTTGGAAGGAAAAGAAGTGGAATATTCTGCAATGGCTGAGTCAATCACCTGATCTCAACCCAATTGAGCATGCATTTTACTTGCTGTAGCCAAAACTAAAGGCAAAAAAGACCCACAAAGAACAACTGAAGACAGCTGCAGTTAGAGCCTAGCAAAGCATCAGAAAGGAAGAAAGCCAGTCTCTGGTAATATCCATGGGTTCCAGACTTCAGGCAGTCATTGCCAGTAAAGGATTTTCAACAAAATGATAAAAATGAACATTTTATTTATGATGTTATTAATTTGTCCAATTACATTTGAGCTCCTCAAAATGGAGGGACTGTGTATAAAAATGGTTGCAGTTCCTAAAATTTGTACTTGATATTTATATTCAACCCCTTGAATTAAAGCTGAAAGTCTGCACTTCAAATTAATTTCGATTGTTTCATTTTAATTTATTCTGGTGGCATACAGAGCCAAAAGTATGAAAATTGTGCCTGTGTCCAAATATATACCTAACTGTGTAACAAAAAAAAAAAAAAGAAATTACATTTTGCTACAATGTAAAGTAGTGAGTGTACAGTTTGTATAACAATGTAAATTTGCTTTCCCCTCAAAATAACTCAACATACAGCCATTATTGTCTAAACTAATGGCAACAAAAGTGAGTACACCCCTAAGTGAAATTGTCTAAATTGGGCCCAATTAGCCATTTTCCCTCCCCGATGTCATGTGACTTGTTAGTGTTACAAGGTCTCAGGTGTGAATGGGGAGCAGGTGTGTTACATTTGGTGTTATCACTCACTCTCTCATACTGGTCATTGGAAGTTCAACATGGCTCTTCATGGCAAAGAACTCTGAGGATCTGAAAAAAAAGAATTGTTGCTCTACATAATGATGGCCTTGACTAGAAGAAGATTGCCAAGACCCTGAAACTGATCTGCAGCACAGTGGCAAAGACCATACAGCAGTTTAATAGGACAGGTTCCATTCAGAACAGGCATCGCCATGGTTCGACCAAAGAAGTTGAGTGCACATGCTCAGTCATATCCAGAGGGAAATAGACATAGGATTGCTGCAGAGGTTGAAGGGGTGGGGGGGTCAGCCTGTCAGTGCTCAGGACTCTAATGGCAACCTGTGAAGCTCTGGTGAAGTCCATGCCCAAGAGCATGGGCAGTGCTGGAAAATAATGGTGACCACACAAAATATTTGACACTTTGGGCCCAATATAAATATATTTTCACTTAGGGATGTACTGACATTTGTTGCCAGCGGTTTAGACATTAATGGCTGTGTGTTGAGTTATTTTGAGGGGACAGCAAATTTACACTGTTATACAAGCTGTACACTCACTACGTCACATTGTAGCAAAGTGTAATTTCTTCAGTGTGGTCACATGAAAAGATAGAATAAAATATTTACAAAAATGTGAGGGGTGTACTCCCTTCTATGAGATAATATATATGTATGTAAGAAGGGGCGGCGCTAAAAACACTTGAAACATGAGAAAAAAGTCCCTCTGACAAGGACCCACACCAGTCCTATAGATTCCCTAGAAGCCACCAAAAGGAAAAAAAAAAGGAGAACTCCTTCACCAACATGGATCACACTGCCTCTTACCGAAAAATATTGACCCCCAATTAAGGAAAGGTCAATATATGCTATGTGATCTCCATAAGCAAGCAGCAAGCTTGTGAGCTCTTTAATCTGGATCTTCGATATAAAGTGACTCTGGGACGAACCTATAATAAATATTATCCTCATAGAGGACAATCCAATTTAAAGATAAAAAGGAATCCTCATAGTGTAGTATTTAAGAAATTTTTAAAGCCTCAGTCACAATAAAACACATACATCAAAAATTATACAAAACAGCATGTCACCATATCCACCAGTAGTTTGTTTCTAACCGACAAGATGGCTGCCACGTTCCAGTGTGTGCTGACGTCATACGCTCAAACTCCTCCCTAAGCATTTTGTCATCAATGACGTCAGGGGCCGTGGCCAGCATCAAGACATCCTGCGATTTCTAGAGGGAAGGAGGCCCCCCCTCTCTATTGTTAAGCAAACACTGGAAAGGAAAAGGACGGAAGCCCCCAGAAACACAACAGTATATCCTGTCCCAAATAATTTTCTTTATGCAATCAAAACTGATTGTCAATCAGAAAAAAATTAAACTAAAAAAAAAATATAATAATTACATAAATGGATACTAATAAATCCATTTCATAAGTAAAACCATAAAAACAAAAGCCATCACGCCATCTTGTGGTCAATAAAGATATATAGGTTAAAAATACATTCCATAATAAACTATGAAAACTAAAAAAAATCATATAATAAATAACAATATAATAAATGAACATCTCATAACACAAAAGAATATATAACCCAGTGTCACTGGAAGCCATGCATGCTCATGCCATCACTATATATATATATATATATATATATATATATATATATATCTCATAATTTGTAGACTCCATGACTTTTACACAGACTAAATAATATACACTTAAGTGGGTATTTTTATCAAAGAATTGTGGCAGAATACATTTTTGGCCTAAGTTTATGAAGAAAGATTATTTGAAAAATTTTACAGCAAAAGTAAGTGGTTTTTTTTTTTTTTTTTCAAAATTGTCAGTACTTTTTCATTTATAAAGCAACAAATAACCCAGTGGTGATTAAATATTACCAAAAGAAAGCTCTATATGTCTCACAAAACTGATATAAATTTCATTTCAATACAGTGTTGCATGGCGGAGTCATTGTCATTCAAAGCGTGACAGCACTGAAAACTGAAAAATGGCTTGGACTGGAAGGGGGTGAAACAGTCTTAACTCGAAGTGGTTAAGAGGCTCTGTCACTACCTGCTAACCTGCAAACTAAAGGCAGACTTGGAATCAGTTATAGGAGTGCTTGGAGAAACCTTGTCTGTATTAGTGATGGAACTCTATTTAGCATATCTTTGCAGTTATCTTTTTTTGAACAATCGCCCAAAGTGCCAACTTCCCTACCCCTACAGTGCCAGTGCTTGCAAACAGTGATAGTGGGCTTACTTTACAATGCATAGTGCCAATCTTATGGGAGTTTCCTTCTTGAATCGAAAATATTTTTAGGTTAAAGGGGTTTGGGGGGGGGGGGGGGGGGCACTTTGATGGTCCATAATGCTTTCTATCCGACATTCTCTGAAATGTTGATTTTGAAGTAAGATTGTCACAAAGATTTCCCTGCAGAATAAATGAAGAGTACCTGGTGGTCATAGGTTGTCTTTAAGTTTGTAAATCATTATGAGCAGAAAAAGAGACCTACTGTAATGGTTGCCGGAAACATAATTCCCTTCAAACACTTTTGATCCTGATACCCATCTTCATGTTTTTCACAACCTGTTTTGCATATTGTTAATTATATCATATTAAGCATGTTGTTTCTATTTTTCTCTCTGTTGGTTTTATAATATCTTGACTTCAGCCTTCTGTATTTGAGCTTGTCCGTCTGCCTGACTATGGCAGCCTGCCTCTTATCCTGGAAGACTTTGCTAAAGATGCTGGAGCAACATTTAGTGGTAAGAGTAAAAACACATATTGAAGTTTATTATAGTGTACCAGTGTGCAAACCTTACATTCTTAGGACCATAAAAGAGGCACCTTGTGCCATCTTTAAAACATCGGGGTATCTCCAAAACTTGGGTGCTCTATTATGCAGATATCCACAACAGATTGATGCCTGGCTCATTTTCTTCTACCCTTAAACCTTCCTTTTGGCCACCAAATGTGAAGGGTAATCTTACTGGTCAATGGATGATGGGGTGGAGATGAGCTATTCCCAAGATTGAACAGGCAAGCTGTTGTAAGTGTTTGCATGATACAGATGTATTTCTCTAATAAATACATGTCATATCCAAGCCATTTAATATCAAGATCAGCCTTGAAGTTTCTCTTAACTATTACCATCCCCTGATACGCACACTCTCCTTCTCTTTGCCCCCCTGCCAATCCAGGTACTCCTCGGTATGGGGAGCATGTGACTCATTCATTTTCACTCCCCATGACATGTGCTTGGTTGATCAGGAACCCAGCAATGCCACATTGTGGTGGGAAGAGAGTCTTTAGCTTCCTCTCTTTGCTTTCATCACCCAAACAGAGTGGTGGGAGTGTGAATAAAGTGAATTATGTGCAGCTAGGGTGGAAGACAGGTGACCAAAGATTACCATTTGGACAGCACAATTAGACCATTTTACACATGCACCATCAATTGTTGTGTACTTGGATGGGATGTACGATGACTGCGTGGGTGCAGGTATCCAATCATCTTGTAGCTGGAATTCATTTAGCATTGTAGGCATAAGATCAAATCTGTTAAAATTATTGTATCATATTCCAAGTGCAAATGCAAGCTAGGTCAGTTGGAATTTCTGTAGCATTCATGATCTTTCATTACTGGGGACAAAACATTTGATTTACTTAGCATTAGAATGATAACATATGTAATAGGATGCAGTTTGGTATTTGAACGAGCTTCCCAACCTGCCTTTTCATTGGATCATTACAGCTCTGTATATTATTATTCTGTTTATATCTCAGATCTATTATTTTTTAACTTTTGGCTCAGTACGCTTCATCATTAAAGTTGCTAAACCTATAAATGAATAGTGCAGGTTTCAAACCTAGCTAGATGTTTGTTTATTGAAATAAAATTATCTCTGTTGAATATCTTAACTGACTGACTTATCTGATTTCAGCTAGTGAGCCAGATGCTGTTCATGTTGTTCTGGACAGACATCTGATAACGGGACAGAATGAAAACTCCACAATGGCTGCTGTTCAGAATCTGATCTTGCTCTGCAATGGAAGGTGGGTGCCAGCTTTCTGTCTGTTTGGTTGTATCAATATGCTGATGTTATGTGTGTAATCAGCACTTAAGAGACATAAAGACTTTTAATGTCTTTTAGGAAATAAGTGTAAACTAATCACATTTATTCATTGTATGCCTGATGTTTAAAATACATTTTTTTCTTTATGCATAATGTGTTTTACATGCACATTGGGCAGCAATAACGGCTGCTGATCTTCTGCAAGTCTAGATGGGTTATGTCTGAGGACAACTCTCTTCCAGCAGTTTCTAAGGACATGAAACACCTGTAGAGCTTATGATAGCTAGATACCATCTGGTATTCACCAATCCTAGACAGGTTAGGATTAGTTTTTGTTGTTGTTGCTGTGTTTTTTTATGAATTCCTGACAGAAGTACATTTTACTTTCACTTTTCAAGGTTGATTCATGGGAAGTTTGATTTTTAATAGATGCCTATTATAAATGACAGTCTGTATGCATACACACACACACATGTGGAAGCTTCAGAATTGCTAATTTTATTTTTTAAAGGTGCAATCTTGTGGGACTGCCTTCCTGATCCTTTTTTTTTTTTTTTTTTTTTTTTTTTTTTTTTTTTTACACTACACTGTGGTGTTGATTTACTAAAGGCAAATAGACTGTGCACTTTGCAAGTGCAATAGCACTCATTTTCCCCAGAACAGTGAGTGTGGTGAAGCTGATCTCAACTTGATAAAACACCTTTGGGATGAATTAGAACGGAGACTGTGAGCCAGGCCTTCTTGTCCAACATCAGTGCCTGACCTCACAAATGCGCTTCGGGAAGAATGGTCAAACATTCCCATAGACACACTCCTAAACCTTGTGGACAGCCTTCCCAGAAGAGTTGAAGCTGTTATAGCCGCAAAGGGTGGGACAACTCAATATTGAACCCTATGGACGAAGACTGGGATGCCATTAAAGTTCATGTGTGTGTAAAGGCAGGAGTCCCAATACTTTTGTCTCTGTAGTGTATGTAGGAGGATTTGTTTAATCTCTGTGTATATGTAACAGTTTACAACTAGTTAAAGTAAAGATAAGGATGACAGTCCCTAAAGATGCACCTTCAAAAAGAACCAGTAAATAGTTTAGTCAGCCGATATCTAGGCAGAATTTAAATATTAGTTTGAGGTAGCTTGGCTCTAACTTACATTACTCATAATATTCCATTGTGAAAGAGAAAGAACTCTTTTCCTTTGTTTATGATTAGGTCTGTTATTTCAGTTGCTGGTTTTCTGAGGCAAAAAGGGAAAAAGAGGTGGAGAGGCATTCTGCCTTTTGCATACAAACTTATTAAAAAAGCACAAGGAACAACATGAAAGAAATAATAATCTATAGGCGAGGTAAAACCTTTTTAAGATGAAGAAAAGTATCACTGTTTGGGTTCCCGTTACAGATACATTTTGTGACAAATATTTCCCAGGACCGCACACTAATATAGTGAATCACCAAACAAACGATCACAAAATGGCTTTAACTGACTCTCCACCCATCAAGAAAGCCCCTCTAACCTGTTTCACTCCTGTAGGGCTTAATCATAGCCGCCCATTTTGTGATCATTTGTTTTGTAGTTCATTATATTGGTGTGAGGGCCTGGAAAACATTTGTGGTTATATGGTCGGGCTTGACATGCTCAGATCAGTGACCCAGCAGCTGTATTTGAACCAGCCGGTAAATCTGACAGGAGCATGGGAATGGTGCTGCTTTTCATATCGGTTCAGATATATTTTATGGACACAATATTACAGGAAAAGGAAGGAATAAATGATCGTATTTGTACTGCAGGAGACAACTATAATATATTTAAGAACCACAGTTTCCTGTATGGCTAGAAAGTCCACCAATAAATGGAGCAGACCTACACTACATTAAATGTTTATCAGCAATTAATGAATGCTTTTAAAATTTCTGTGTTTAGGAAATGAGGTTGCAATCGAGCTTTCATAATTTATATGAACTCGAATGATCAGCGGGAAGAACTGAAGTTTGATGTGATGTGACCAACAGCATTATAGAGTGATAAAAACCATTCCAACCATGCAGCATTGTGTTCACAGACTGAGACAATGGAGAAATCTGGATCACAGCAGGAATTCATTTTACTGTGGACTGAAAATCTATTCCGACTCATACTGTGATTGCAGTAAAGTGTTTTGACTTCTGCTGTGCAGCACCAATTCACTGCAATGAAGAGGAGCAAAGGCATGGGTTGCAGCAGCCATTAATCAACATATTTATTCATCCGGGTGCTGAAAATAAAAGCTTGATTGGTTTCTGTGGGCAAACACTTTTTCTCTTTTGGTCTGTATTCCTTTGAGCCAGTCACTGTTGTCTTTAAGAATTCATTGGTGATGCCAAATGTTTCAAAACGTCCCTCAATTCACTACCCTAAATTGACATCAACACAGATTTTTTTTTTTTTTCTTCTAAACATTTCCTCCACTTCTCCCTCTTCCTATTTCAAGGCAGTAGTTGTACTGTATGTTAAAACATTTCAATAAATACACTTATAAAATAGTGTGGAAGATGTAGCATTTGTCCTCACTCTTGCTTAGCTTTTCTCAACCAGGGTTCCACCAAATTAAATGTTGCTGGTATAAAAATATACCATAAGTTGCATTCAAAAATCCCTCCATAATCATCACAAAGTTACTATGAACAGTACATAAAGTGATTGATCTCCAAGATCAGCCCAAACAAAATAGACAATTTAGTCTCAAAATCTAGGTGCTACCAATCAAAGATGAAGGGGGGCTCCCATGAACATGTAAAGAAAATAACAAAACAACCCTGTTCTTTTTTTCATTTTCTTTACATGGTCCTTGAGCAGTTTCTGATTCTTAGATGTTGACCTCTGACAACAATTGCCTTTTTTATCTACTGACCAGGAACATTCTTCCCACTGATGAAAGAAGAAAAGTCCTTATGGCCACACTCCATAAACAGTCCATCATTATTGGCTGTATACAAACAAAGCAGTATAAACCCACCCAAGTGATCACAGTGGTGGAAAGAGATGTTAACACATTTCAGTCTTAGCGCTTACATAAGAGGAGCACAAAACACGTTAACCTCTCGCTCCCCCACTGGGATCACTTAAGTGGTTTAATGCTACTTTGTACATGGGAAAATAAGTTGGACTATGGTGTTTGTTTGGAGTGCAGCCATCCAGACTTTTCTTCTTTCATCACATGCACAGGTGTGCTACTGGCCACTGCTCAGTGTGAGGTGTGCATGAACATGGGCCGACCTCAAGTAGCGCTCTGTAATGCACATTCTTCTCACTAAATACCAGTGTAAAGGGTCTCTTCTTAAGCAGGAACTACACAAACCACCAGTGTAAGTGGGTTCTCCTCCACTGACCACCAGTGTAAAGGGGCACTGCAGTTGGCACTGTCTGCAAACCTTTTTAGTCATTATTCTTTCTCTCACATCATTATTACTGAAAATATTTTTGTTGTAGCGAGCAATCCTGGGTGTGAAATACGCAAAGTATGCCACATTCCTTCTTTTTTATGTTTTGTTTGTCTATTCTTATATCTCAACCTACGGTTCACACTAATGTACTGTGTGCTGTAGCTATAATAATTATTAGCAGAGTTTCATTGAGACCTGGAAGTTTTGTCAAGGGTTCGTCTGTGTCGAGGTTGAGAAATGCTGCTCCAATTTGTACACAACAAAGTTTTATTATCTAAAACAGGACTAGAGTGGTGTAGAAAAAAAACATTTCTGTTTTGTAAGGGTTAGCATCTCTTCCTTTTTTTATGCTCCCTGTGTATATTGAGGAGATGTATCCTTTTGGTGATTATGATGTGGTTAATCTTCCCAAAATGGACACAACAAAAAAAAAAACACATTTTTATATAGATACTAAGCATAGGTTCAAGTGATAGTGATATCAGGTAAAGATGTCTCATAATGCTGGCACCATGTAGATAGCTGACTCTTGCAGCATGCAAAAGTGCACTGTGAACTGTACATTGCAGTATTACAAGTTACACATAGATTAGATGTAGTAATGGCTGCAGCACATGACAGTTTGGTAAACAGTGCTTTTAGACACATATGTCAGTTATCCAGTTTCACTATGCTCTGTTTTGAATTTTATTAATTAGATTATAGAAACTGATAAATGATTCATGTATAAACCCAGACATCTTCTTTTGATCATATTCATTAAAGATTCACAATTTTCTGGACTTCTCATCCATTTCATTCTTTCATAGTTTTATCAGTAGTCTAGAAGAGACAAAGCACTACAACTAATCTAATATACCTGACCTGTATTTGTTTGCTATATAATGTATATATTTTAGCTATATATCTGACTCTGATTGTAAAATATACACACATTCAGGGGGATTAACAAATCGTGCATGGAGAAAAATGTACCAAATTCTATAAGCACACTATTTTAGATTTTTATGCACCATATAAAAGTGTCAATACACCATCTATATTACCGCTAAGAGAGGAGCAAGTATAAACCATCTGAAACAAGGAGATACCCCTACATCTATCTTTTTCTCCCAATCCTCCCTTCCCCAACTCCCCTCCCTCCAAATCAACCCAACTCCCACCAACCTCCCCCCCTCCATATGTTCAATACCTCTTTGGCCCATTTCTAGCCCTGGAATCAGTTGTGGTCTAATCCCACTATCGATTCCTCCTCCCAGGGTGAGACTCAGGACATGTACACCTATTCGGACTCTTGCCTCCCATCTTTGGATCCCAACTTCGGGAGCATCTTGAAACTCCTAAAACACCACCACTATTTTTAGCGAGAAAGAAAAAAAAATCCCATCCCCTTCCCCTACCCTCTTACTGATTCAGAGCTTATGTCTTTCAAATAAAACCAGAGTCTTCTCCCCAAGGAGGAGGGTCAGAAGACAACCTAAAATGCCTGTATAAGGGAAAGCTGAGATCTATAGTGAGGTGAGAGGGGAACCCCCCCCCTTTCTGCTCCCTCCACAGAAGCGCCTTCCTCCCTCTCAATTCCATTATCTCTTTTTAGAGACTACATACCATCTTTTCTTTTCT